AGACTAGACACAAAATAGCAACACCAGAGTTATCAAACTTTACAATATTGCTCTGTTTTCCCATGTGCACCTCAAAATGGGCTGTCGAAGTTACACTTTAAATTCACACTCTGCTGCTTATTAACAAGGTCACACACCTGAAGTCATGCTGGAAGTGAAGGGTGAAAGGGGCTTTGCACCTCTCGAGCTGTGGGGCCTTGCTCAAGGAATCAGACAACATCTCTCCAACTATAGCTCCTATTTTTGCATTTTGTCTGCAACGGAACCCCAACTGAGGTCATCTGGCTCCAAAACCAAAGTCTGTCATCTTCTGTCTGTTTTTATTGTGTTTTAGCTCCAGCTGGGGTGAAGGGCGTTCCCCTACAGCAGGCACACCTGTTCCACGTTTCCCCTCAAGCCTTGCCAAGTACTTAAGGACTGCCAAGTTGCCTCTGTTGGATTATTGACCTGGCTCACTGTTGCGGTTCAAGTATTGTTTGTATTCTAGACTTTTTGATATCTTTCACAGTGACTCTCATTTTGTCATAGAATTTTGTGTTTCCATTATTCCTTTTTGTCGATCTTGATCTTTGCTTTCGCGTTATTGGACTTTTGATATTTCGTTTGTGTATTCTCGGCGTTCGATTGTACCTTGCGTATGCAAGAGCTTTTTGTTTTATGCGTTGTTTTTTTTTTCCTGGCTCCTTGTGACTAGCGATTTCAGTTTGTACTTTGTTGGTTCGCTTTTCTGTAATAAATATTTTTATCACACGTTGAGCCTGCATTTCTCGAATCCAAAACATGATTCGGTTCGGTTCAGAACCTGACAAAGTCATTAGAGATGACCTACTTGTAGAGCAACAAATTAGAACGTAGATCTAAGTTTGGTCTATTTTGTCGGCATCAGCTACACTAATTATAGGACAACCATTCATCCTCACTGACCTGACCGCATAACTGGAGGTGACAGCAGTCAAGTCACTCAATAGAGTGACAGGGATGCTGTTATTGGCCCACCAGATTAAAAGATGTCACATGATGTCAAGAAGCATCTATAGGGGAGACAATCCCTAAAATCAGCGCCACTCCTTCCGAATGGTATTACGGGAATTCAGAGACGGCTGCTTGGAAGAAATGTAGCAAAGAGCAAATGTATAAATACAGTAATAGACCAAGCCCTCTACAGTAACATGGCGGGCTATTGCTGCAATGCACCGGGGGCATGTGAAATGTAAAATAAAAATAGAAGCATGTGATTTTACCAAAGATTGACGATAACTTTGCGTCACACTTGGAATAACAATCGTAGAACAAAGTGCAACTGTTCTGAGCCCACTCCCAGTTATATTCTTCCTCAACTGAAATAAAAATGAAAGACTCCACATTCGTTGTGCATGTTGAGGCTTTGTTTTCCTAAGGACAAAGTAAGCACTCACCCAAGTGTCTTTATAAGCAACTGTGCAGTATTCGTCACAATGTTGGCAGGGGAATAGATATGGTCCCTACAATATAAGGCCTAAGCAAACATGCAATACAATCTGTGTCTAACCTGCTCATTCTAAACATAAAATAGAAAAATATTATCGAAATTCTGCCTTGACATTTAATGACATCTTAAAAGATTTAAAAGACCCAATTAAGTGGCTGCAGATTGTGTAGTGTGCACGGCAGGGATATATTACTGACATACAATGAGCCTGATATTATTTTGTCAATATGAGAAACTCCTCTTTGACTTCAGATTTCAATCAAATGCAACCTCCCACCACGCTTCTAAAAAGACTGTCTTGTGTTTGACTTAACTTGCAGGGCACCTTGGCTAAATGTGTCTGGGTTTTGTCACAGAGGTATTCTGGTGCCTCAGAGATGACAGTGCCGTGTTTAGCTCTCGCCCTCGTTCCTGTGCAGCCCTCATGTGCTGAAGATACAAACCAAGATTTCCATGGTTACTGTCAGACAAACAGCAGTCAACAGTGAGGAGAACTCAAGCTATCAATAGTCTGCCATCCTGTATGAGCTTACTTGCATCTGCACTGCATCAACTCTGACTCACGCTCTTTTTATTCAGCTTTGAGAAGGACCTCACTCTCAAAAAAAAATCAAACAAAACAAATCCTTTTGTTGTCTTTTGAAAGGGATCTCCATAATGGCTCTGCTAATTCAGCAAATATTTCGAACAATTAAGTCCACATTTCTTGTGGGAATCCTTAAGTACATTTTTCCAGTTTAAGTCTTCTCGTCAGCAGTCGAAACTCTTTTCAATTTACCGTGTTTACGTTTCCACCCCTATAGCATTTCAAAGTCCCGATTTCACGTGATTCATCTTCCATGTGCCAATTTTGCTTACAACGAACACTTTTCTAACATAAACGTCATCATATCGACCAGATTTTTGCCACAAAATAGTGCATAGGCCATCTTTACAACGAACCGTAAGAAGCTAATTGCCGCCGCGACCTTGCTTTTCTGAACAAAATGCACAGCGGAGGATTGCCCTCTGTTGCTTAGCAACGCTTCAGATTGACACCGTACACATGGTCTCAGAACATGTCTGGTAAATGGAAGCAAATCTCGCTCTCTATGAAAGCTGAAATTGTCTCTCACTTTCGAAAGGGAGTTTCCCAGATGAAGCTCAGCCGAGACTCCGAATTGGCAAAGTTGACAATTTTGACAATCATCTGTAATGGAAAATGGATTGATGGATGTGCTTGAGTACTTAATGAACATCTTTCTTTGACATTGTCTTCACTTTGAAATGATACATTAAAATAATAATGAAAAAACAGAAAGTCGTCAGTGTTTTATTCATAATGTTCCAAATCTTTGATCAAGAAAATATCCGGGCCATTCCAGCATTACATTCCACACCGTGAACAGCACTCACCTCATTTATAAGAACAGAAGCGCTGTGAATATGTCAAAATATTAAACCCTGTCTTTTCAAATTTGTGTAAACACTTAATCTGACCATGTTAGACTTTTGGAAAATTGGATTAACCTTGCATTGCCCCCCATGCCCTCAAATATGAAATTGGAAACCAAACTCCTCAAGCAAGTACTTTGTGCATGTTAATTTAGAGAAGGTGAATAAAAGAGGGACTCTATGCTACATTTTATGTCTCTGCTGTCTCCATTCGTAGCCAGTGTGCTGGGAAATTACAAAATGTTCCCCTCTCATCAGTCATTCACTGTTCAGGTTCAGATGAGGGGGCCCTTCACTAATGCCTCCAAGTGAAAAACAATGCACACACTATGCACCTCTGCTCCAAAACTTGGGTGGAAATATTTGGTCGTACTTACTTTGGCTCTGGTGGCCGTTGGCCTGCAATTTATTCATCTGTGAAGTGGCAGCTTTACCTCAGACAGGAAAACTGAGGTACTGGTTCTTTGGTTTGCAGGACAAATAGTAAATACAGTGTTTCTGTTTGTGGAACTGAAAAGTAATTCATTGGTTGGAAAATTCCAGGGTCACAGGTAATGGCAACATGCTTGTCGCCTGCCTTACTCTTTGACTGAAGTGAAAAAGTGGCAGTCACGAGCTTGTTTTCAGTCAAAGTGAAGGAAAATTACACATTTCATGTCTAAATGAAGTCTTTTATTGACGCAGATGAGGCACACTAGGAATATTTTGTAGATGCCCACTACATTAGCACTTAGTCACCATTTCCTTTCCTCTGCTGAAACACAAAAGTAGCCCATTAATTTTGAATACACAGCTATAAAACAGGGACATGGTGTTCAGAGTCAAACATATGTCAAATATCTGTACTGGATTTCGTAAAACACCGGTATTTCCTGGAATTTTGTGTCCAAAGATCTCTGGCATTCCCAAAGAAATTTTTGGGGGGAACGTTACACAACACACTACAGCGGTGTGGCGACGGCTTCGTTGTAAAACCAAAGGGAGCTTAGCTTGCAAGAGGCCTATTCTGAAGAAGGCTGTCATTAAGTCAGTGATGTGCCATTGCCAGTGTAAAAATAGTAATTACATTGACAGCAAAGGTTTTCATTACTTCAAGCAGGGAGGTTGTGTGCCTGCTGAAACTTTTTTTGTACAAATGCTGGGATTTTCCAAAGGCTTCTCCTGTCATTTCTGATGATACAGGTTTTCTCTAACATCTGGTTCTATGACTGATTCAAATTCCTCCAGTGAGCTGGTTGTGGTTGTTTCTGAATATTCGAAGGATCTTTGGGGATTCACGCAGGTTTGACACAATGGCCCAGACAATTATAAAGAAATATTTAATTAATGGGTCTGAGTTTTGTTGATTATTCGCACATGGCATATGCCTCCTCTCACAAGCAGAAAGGATCTTGTTTTTTCTACACCAGCACAGTCGTAGCACATGTGCGGACACATAATGAAATAACTTTTGAGGGCTACTACTGAGGTGCTAGTTTGGCCCAAGTGACCGCTGTCCCCACTCTGCCCTTCTCGACTGTTGCTTTAACACTATTGCTTCAGCATGTCTTTATTGGGAGTGGACCGAAGAAAAGGATGCATCTATCACTCAGCATTCAACACCGTTTGCTTTTAGGTTGTATTTGTGTCACTTACTGCCCCCGTGGCTCTACATTTTGCCTGATGGATTGTTTGATTAGACCAAGCCCGCTCCCCTCCTCCCCCCATCCCACCTCTCCCTTATTTGACCCACCTCTCCCTTATTTGAAACAGCTGATTTATGTCTGGTCTAGGACACTTGTGCACTGCGACTGGAATGCAGAGAATGTCAAAGACCCCTCCTCTGCATGTCCCCTCAACATGCAAACAAATGGTGCAGGCGCCGGATGAAGACCCACCGGTGCTCCCACTGCAGGGCAAGGAGGCAGAATGTAAGGAATGTTAGAGGACAGAAAATAAAACCATTCTGACCTTCTGTCAATCTCTCCTTCTTTCGTAACTCAACATGTTTCCAGTTTCCCTGGTGTGCTTCTTGTTTTTCAACTTCTGATTTGTATTCTATGTTTCAGACTTGTAATTGTGGTGCATTTTCCCATTTGCAGTAATAACGTGGGCAAGATCAGAAAAAAACAACTCTTTTATTTGTGTTAAAATTCAAAACCACAATATGCACAATACTCTGTCATAAAAGAGGCAGATATTGGAGACAAAATCAAAGAGTGCTTTGTTGAACCCACAAAAACAGTGTTTGCCACTCAAATCTGAAAAAGAAAAACATGTGGAATATTTATAAAATGGCCTCTCGCCCAAAGTCATCTGGGAGGGTCTCCAGCACATTCGCGAGTCGCGACCCTGGTGAGGATAAGCAGTGCAGAAAATGGATGGATGGATAGATGAAGATTAAAGGCATAATGCTGTAACTCAGTACTACATGCATATGAACATGCCGGCAAGGCCAAAAAAAAAACACTCCATAGAAGCCAAAATATTTATATGTTTTGGTAATGAAAACATAGGCAACTCTGTCCAACGTAGCTCACATACAGTAGTCCTTTGTCTCCTCCTGGCTTGAGGTTGTTCATTGGATCATTCCCTTTCTCCTCCAAGGGCCTTAGTGCAGCTCAAGGCCTGCTTTTCACTGCAGGTTTATCCATTATGTCGAGCACATCATCCAGGATGGATGGGCCCAGATCAAGTTCAAGGGAGAACAAGGACCCTGTGATTCGGGTGAGGGACTCCTGTGATGCGCTCTTCTCGTTGGAAAACTCAATGTCAAAATCACAGGTCCGGCCCTCCTCCACCCCACTGTCTCTATCCACCCACTCTCCATTGCACTTTGAGAGCTCCTGCTTGAATTCCAGGTTAATGTTTTTGCAAAAATGTCCTGAACCGTTGTTCTCGTCAATGAGACTACTCTTGTCGTTGTAAATTTTGGCTTTGTAGTTCTCTCTCGCATAACTTTCAAAGCTGTCACTGCTTGTATTGCTGTGAAGGCTTCCGTTAGCTTTGTAGCTGGTGTTGCTATGACCAGTGATGTAATAAGTGGATTGCTTCTCAATCCTGCTCTCTTTTTTGTTTGCTATGTTAGTCTTGATAACTGCTTTTGAGTTAGGCTTTTTCATGTTCTCCAGGAGATCCAAAAGGACGTCAGGCTTTGACTGGATGTCTCTGAAGGGAGGAGATGCCTTGCTACTGAAGTTGTCCATTGAGTGCAACAAAGCATCCATCTGCAGGATCTCTACATCTTCAATACTGTCAGGTTTCACGGGGGATGAAGGCCCCATTATGTCCCCTAGCGGTTGTGGGGGCATCGAGAATACTGTCGAGGAGATCAACGGTAAGCTAAGTGCCTGACAGCCACCAATGGTTGGGAGGGAGATGGCATTCTTGAGAACAGGAGATGGGGTGTCAGCAAAGGAAGCATCGCCTGTACTGTTTGCTCGTAGAAACTCACTTTGGACACCGTACTGAGGTTGGAAATCAACCTTCCCCGGCAAGAGCTCATACTTTCCTTGGAGGAAAGACATATCTCCGAAGGCATCCCTCTGTCCACCTCTGCCGATGTGAATGGTATGCCGAAAATCGCCTAGTGGCGGACTGATCATGTCTGGTGACAAAATATCGCGCAGGCGACATTTTTTCCCCTTCTTACTGTTGGTGGGTTTCAGGTATATTGGCGCTTTTGCTGGCATGGCTGTGGGAGTAGGCTCAGGTAGTAGGTCTACAACTTCTTGATGACAGATCCCCAAGGAGAATCTTGCGTTACATTCTCAGTATTACGTTGTCCATGCAGGTATCACCAGTCTTCCAACAACTGCAGCGATAGGACTCCAATTAGCACTGTTGTCTGAAATCAAAGAGAAGCACCGAGAATGTCAGCATTTTTTTTTTTTTTTTGGTCAGACATGAACTCAACTACAACAATTTTAAGTCTCTTATAAGATTTGTTGCTACCAATACACAGTGTTTTAAAAGTCTGTAAATGTTATATTTAATGCAGACAAATGGTTCAATAGCTAGCAGTTGTATACACAAACCCTACTGCTTTACAGCAATTTTCTTTTTATGTGAGTGTCTGATATCCTTTTCCTGTCGACTCTGTGTTCAAGGGCATGCTGCCACCACCACCTAGTTAGCCTTTCAAAGAACAAATAGTGGGCCCTTACTGGGACATAACTTTTTATTGGCCTGTGTGTTATACATGAGCCCCATCAACTCTAGATGGAAGCAACAGGCCAGGTGAATGAAATAAGAAAGTAAGATGTTGATCTACCAGGACTGTCTCTTTGCTGAACAGGGCATTCCAGACAGTAATAACAATACAAATCTGTAGTTAAAGAAATACACCTGGGATCCTAAAAGGAAGAATAAGCATTACATTGCTCAGCTTGCATCTGCCGATATTAAAAGCCTGAAAAGCAGAGGATGGGTGCATCTCTTTTCATGTGGGCCTCTTTTGGTCTACACCACTGTGGATGTGCTAATGTAGAACAGCTGGCTCACAGATTGGGAGAGCGCCAGTAATGGGGAACTATAATAGGATTCGTGGAGGACACCCTGCTTTGGAAAAGCGCTACTGCGCAGGCACATACAAGATGGATAAGGTTTTAGTGGGATTGGAAAGAGCCATATAATAAGGGCAAGTGGATTTTAAGAAAGAAGGTGATGCAGATTTGGGAAGAGAAGTGATTTGGCTTTGATAAGCACAAGATTGACTTTAGATGAAAAGGCGCAAACCTCATCAGAAGGAGTCAACATTATTAAGGGGTACTCAATTTGATGAAGTTACTGATTGCTTTCTGCCCTCTGTGAGTTGTTTCCATGACTGAATAACCATTGAATGTCACCACAAGCTTAGTGTGGAATGAACTCTGTAAAAAGGCTGAGGGCACGTTGGGTTTGGCTGATATAGTGAGACATTGTTAAGACAAAACACTGGAGCGGCAACAGAGGTAGATTGTCTCTGTCTCTCGCTCTCTTGGAGTGCATGCGTGCGTGCGATGAGTGGCAAGAGAGAGAGCTTGCCCATTTATAGGCATTTACTGATGAGGTCTGTCTGCAGTGACCATCTGACAGTAAGTACATCACTGAAAACAGTCAGATCTAGTTTAACAAAAAGAAATGACAAGGGGGTGGAAAAAAAGACATTCCACATTCCTGCTCCATTGCACGCCACAGACATACTGCATCAACCTTATCAAAGACACTTTTGGCAGGCTATGTTTATTCAGCATGCACATTAGTGCGGAGCCAGAGAGACCGGCACTCGCTGGGACTTGAAACTGCTGCTCTGACAGCAATTTTAACATGGAATCCAGTGTAGAAGTTCTCTTGAAAGTGTGGCTATAATGTTCTGCACAAGGTGAGAATTTGGAATCAAGCTTTATCTTGCAAGGGCTACACTGTAGATATAGTTATGACAAGCACTGTGTGGTGAACAACAACACTGTGCTCAACAGTATTGGAGTGCTCGTGTGACATGCCTGACTGCGCTTGTGACCGATAGCAATTTTGAATGTACGCCATGTGTGAGGGGTAGAGCGAGCATATTTGTTTGCCAATAATTATGCCGAGAGAAGATGGAGGGACAAGAAAAGACACAGTGTTTAATGATCATGTGCGAATGATGCCTAACTTGTGTACCGCATACTTTCCATTAAGGTTTTTATTCTCATTCTCGCACTGTTCCTGCATTCTTTGCTGTGGCTTCAGGCCTGTTCTGTTGCACAGATGAAGTTCATTGGGCTCAATTTGTCTTAATTTTGTCCCTTCTTGACCAAGAACAACAAACAGGAGACTATTTTAGGTTTCACGTGAGTACGATTCCCCTGTGGTCTGAGGTGTGAGAGTGATTTTGTTCTGATAATGGGAGTACAAAATGGGTTAGGCTGATAATTTTAAAATGTAAAACCTGTTCAATATTTACAACCAGAGATCTGACAATTCCCAGGTCATGAGTCCGTGAATTGAGACATAAAATGGAATGTGGCAAATCAAGAAGCGACCTGACTGATAAACAAGGTAAATAAAAAACAACATGTCTTATCCAGGCGGGAGAGTGGACATCTGATTAGCCTCTCACTGTAGAGGTGCAGGGTTCAATTCCGGCTCCAGCCTTCCTGTGCGGAGTTTGCATCTTCTCCCCGTGTCTGCGTGAGTTTTCTCCCGGTGCTCCGGTTTCCTCCCACATTCCAAAACCATGCATGGCAGGTTAATGGAACACTCAATGGAAGTGTCAATAGCTGCGATTGTGGTTGTTTGTCTCTGTCTGCCCTGCGATTGGCTGGCAACCAATACTGGGTCTACCCCTCCAACTGTCCAAAGACAGCTGGCTCCAGCATGCCCGCGACCCTCATGAGGGTAAGCGGATTAGAAAATGGATGGATGGACAGCCTATCCATGTTACTAAGATAATTACACCAGCAATTAGCTTAATTTGAAAATGCAATTCTACCTTTTGGGTAAGATAGTGCTGGCTCTGGCCATTTCCATCTTTTTGGCAAAGTCTGTCATCAACATTCATCCATCCATCCATTCTTCATCCCACTTATGCTCACTTGGCACGCGGGTGTGCTGGAGTGTACCCCAGCTGACTTTTGGCGTGAGTCTTGGTACACCCTGAGCTGGTAGCCAGCCACTCACATGGCACATATAAAGAAACAACCACTCACACTGACATTCACACCTACGGACAATCTTCAATGGGCCTATCATGCATGCTTCTGGGATGTGGGAGGAAACCAGAGTACCTGGAGAAAACCCACCCATGCCCAGTTAGAAGATGCAAACCCCAACAGGTAGCCAGAGTTGGAATTTGAACCCACAACCTGTGAACTGTGAGGCGAACGTGCTTTCATCACCATTAAAATTTGTACCCATCATGAGACTCTCTCTGCATGAGTGTTCTGGAATTTATCTTTTCTCTTCTTGTTCAAATTCAACATAGGGGGCATAACCACTAATTACATTCACCAAAACATCCTTGATGATAAGTTTCAGCTATGCTGTGACAAAATATTGACGTCATTAATTAACCGACTTCAATTAAAATTTCACACATGTTATAGCTGACTGCTAAAAAAAAAAGAAAAATCAAACTCTAGGAAGTATTCGTTGCCAATGATAAGCAGGAAGAAAAAGCAAGTCAACAATAAATGAGACATTTCCTCTTGATGTAGCCTCCATTAATATTTTTGTGCCCTACAATTTTAGTTTTTATCTAAACGGATTTGAACTGCTCCTCAATTCTTTCTAACCCTGACAGTTCAAGTACAGTTCAGGCCCAGGAGGTTAAACATTTGCTCCAATCTAAAAACAGCTTTCTGTGGTCTAACTCTGGTTACATGCTTCGAGCATGTTGTAAGGCCTCTAGCATGAAAAAAAGTCACTGTTAGCTATAAAACTTAGTTACGGCTGCAAAGAACCCTGACCTCAACCCCAACAAACACCTGTGAGATGAACTTGAACAGTAAGTAGAACCAGGCCTTCTATTCCAACAGAAGTGACTTATGACCTCATAAATGTTGAACACAAGTTCTGTCTTTCTGGAAGAAGGGAAGATGTACTTGAAACGGGACACCCAACTTCATATTCACTCCCTGTTTTATTTGTGTTATGGCCAAGTGTGCCAATAACTAGCCATTATTGATCAACCAGATGAAATGGCAAAATACTCTGGCCTGCATAGATTTAACAAGGTAGTCTCACATGGAGGGCATCTCTTATAAGCCGAGCCAAGGTCAACATTTGTGGTCTGTAAGAAGCCAGCTGGTGTGGTGAAAGCCTGAGGCTGTGACCTTCACATCAGGCATCCTGGTGGTAGGCCATTTTGGCTTATATGGCAAACATTAGAGGAATTCCAGAAGCCACATGCAAATTACTGGGAAAAAAACAATCATGCTGCTTTCGGCTACCGCTGCCAACACACAGCACACCTGCATGAGGTGTGGTGAGATGAAACTGAGCTCACTGGAGATGATTCACATATCAGAGAATGTTGAGAATTAGAGCAATGCTTGTCAAGCACGTTCGGTGTGAACAACAATCGACGTGACTGCAACAGTTAAGTTCATGGTGCACAAAGCAGGGTGACGTTTGCAGTTCAAATTAATCTGCTGTTTTTGGAGCACTCTGAATAGGCACAAAGCCAGACCCAGATTTACACCCTGCTTTTGGTACTTGTTCAAACAAGGCTAATGTTGCACGTGTTGACCACTCAAGAGTCAAGCAGTGCCAACACAACAGAATGCGGTCAGGGTTTTCATTTATACCTCTGAGGAAGTTGGAATGTAATGGCACCCCTTCCTAAATACACATTCCTGAGAATTCATCTAACATGATAAACCAGAGAGTCATTGGGTCATCAACAGCTCGCTGGGTGGGCATGGAGTGATCTGGAGCCCTTTCAGCGTCTTTAAATACTCAGCTTTGCTTCGTCAGTCCCTGCTCGGGGACTTAGTCATTAATGTGGGGCAGAATAAAGGAGGAAGGTGTTGAAAGATTTTGGCATCTGGCATTCAACGTGTGGCTCGTGATTTGCGTGGGCATTTGGGGGCAAGTCACGTGCAATATAAGTGGGTCACTATATTATTAGTGGTGTCACCCTATGACAACATTGCATATTTGTGGTGGCACCACATCGAATAAGAGGAGCAGCTGTTCAAAATGTGACCTGCATGTGACTTCCCTATTTGTCCAAAATAGAAGTTCTGCACCTAGTAAATACTCCTCCTGAAGATAGGATTAATGTGCTGCTAGGGTATTTGTCTTGTTTTAAATAGGTCTTGTTTTAGGCTTAATTATCGTACTCCAGTAGAAAAGACCACTTTAAACTACTGGCTTGGCTTTCATGCCTTTGAAAAGTTGAAAGCGCTCCTTATACTTCAAGTGAAAATGATAGCCATAGAATAGTCGGAACCGTTTGTTTCTTTAAAAAAGGCTCAATTAAAGGCAAAGGCCTTACTTCTGAGGGGCTGTGGTGGCAAAATAAATAGCAGGGTTGAGCATTTGTTCAATCTCCTCTCCCCTTTTACCATCTGCATCTTGTCAGCATTAGCCTTCGTGTGTGATGAGTCGGACACCCAAATCAAAGCAAAACAAATTCACACACACGCTTTCTTTCAAGTTGCCTGTTGAAAATCCAAAATCTACAGAGGGATGAAGACAAATCCAGCTTTTCTTTTTACAAAAGATGAACCTGTGTTACTGTAATTGTGAAGCTGGACTACGCTTGAGGCATCATAATCAACTTGCTCTTGGTAGTCAAGTGTCTGACCTCAAGAATCTGCTTTACACGGCTTGCATGCATTCACACGTGTCAGTTTAAGTCAGCTATCTGCTTGAGAGATTTGCTGAAAATGTCCCACAATACTAACCTGGGCATCGACATGGAAACCTTCACACTACAACTACATTATGACATTCAGCAATTCAAAGATAGATGAAAAATAAACACTCTTGTGCCCACTTACCTTCTCAGTAAAGCTCGATCCTCTCCAGGTAGAGCACTCTCATTGCTCTTCTGTGTGTTTGTCTTCAGTGGATTCTCTTATGTCGGATGCCTTGCCTCAGATCTCTGCCTTGGGGCTGCACTTCTGTCGACTGGGATGTCTGCCTGACAGCTGTTTTTGAATTGCTCTGAGGCTCCTGTTCCTCTGTGAAGTAAGTTAAGTCTCCTCCTATACCTCCCTCACCCCCTTCCTCCCTCCTCTTCCTCTCGCCTTCTTGTCATTACGCTCCCTCTCCCTTCCTCCCTCCCTCTCTGCTTCTCTCTCTCACTTTCCTGCAACACCTGTGCATGCTTGCCGTCTCTCCTATTCAATCCTCAGATTGTTTTGCTTTATTGCTTCCCTGTGAAATGGTGGCACTGTAACAATAGCAAACTTGAGCCCTGCAACCAACAGCATGTGGATGTCTGGCTACATGACATGAGGGAGAGCATGTGTCTGTGTGCTCACTCACTTTGTCTCTCTGACTGTCTAAATGCTCACATCTGATAAGAGCTATTCTGTAAATTCAGCGGACAGCCTGCAGACATTTGACTGGACCGGACTATTACTTCGTGTCTTTATCCTTATCTGTCTGTCACATGCATTCTTTCCAAAAACACCACCTCCCATTTCCTGTTAGAATACTGTATTTTGCTGAATATGCTGCACAAAGAAGTCTTAAGTTGCAGCAGGCTGGTGCGACAGTGTGAGTAGACTAATTGCCGCAGAACACTGCAGCAATGCAGTATCTGCAGAGGACATGTAGGTCATAGGACAGCACTTCAGCCAAATAAGATAGCAACGCTGCTTTCTAGCCACATGCGTTGAAAGCAAATGACCTCTTGAATTTAATGACGTGACAATTTTTATGTTTGCGCAGCATGAGACTAAAATCTTATCACCATGGCAACCAGTGTAGCTCACAGACGATCTCACTAGCTCCAGTGTTGAGTAAAGCAATGGGACATTTTTGGGGTATGTAAAGTGGTGTGCAGCAGCTAAAGGCGGCTCGATGATAAATATCAAAGGACATCGACACAATAATAAAGTAAAAACAAAACAAAATACATCTGATAGTGTCAGTTAAAACGAAGCATGCTTTTTTAAACATTGTAAATGCAGAATTTTTTTTTTTTTTTTTTTTAACTGCACAAGTGTACCTAATTCATTGGCTGGCCAGTGATGCATACCTATCTGAAAAACAGTTGATTAAGCTGTACGCACAAGCAGTAATGGTACTGAAACAATATTGCTTCACCGTCTAACACATGATGCGGTACATCCTCCCGCAAACACACTCCCTCACCTCCTTAGAGATCGATTTGCTCATTCTTTTCCTCCCTGCTCTTCTATAAGATGTTTTGCAAAGTCTATCGTGAATTACAAAATAATTGTGCAGGCCTTATGACAGATACCAGTTGTGAATGAAGCCCTTTAGAGTGGAGTTGTAATGCCTTCCCGCAATGATGTCATCATACTACGCATGGGCAGCACATGATCTGTCTGTGGAACACCCAACAATGTCTTCTCATTCAAACCATAATACAGTACTATCAAAACTAATAACACTCGATCTCTCTTTTCACATGTTTCGCGTTTGTTCCTCAAGACAGATAGCAAGAAATGTCAAAATTGAGGTCTAATGCTTCCAAATGAAATCATGTATTTGACGGACTGGGAACATTCTGTAACTCAAGGATTTATTTATCCACAAATAGTATAGAACAGTCGAAAAGTCTTGCAATTGCATGAAAGTGATTCTTACTTTTGCCCCCAAAAAATGAGAATTTATTTCATTAACAGATAAAAGTCCTCTTCTTGTTCTTCAGCCAAATAAGATAGCAACGCTGCTTTCTAGCCACATGCGTTGAAAGCAAATGACCTCTTGAATTTAATGACGTGACAATTTTTATGTTTGCGCAGCATGAGACTAAAATCTTATCACCATGGCAACCAGTGTAGCTCACAGACGATCTCACTAGCTCCAGTGTTGAGTAAAGCAATGGGACATTTTTGGGGTATGTAAAGTGGTGTGCAGCAGCTAAAGGCGGCTCGATGATAAATATCAAAGGACATCGACACAATAATAAAGTAAAAACAAAACAAAATACATCTGATAGTGTCAGTTAAAACGAAGCATGCTTTTTTAAACATTGTAAATGCAGAATTTTTTTTTTTTTTTTTTTTTAACTGCACAAGTGTACCTAATTCATTGGCTGGCCAGTGATGCATACCTATCTGAAAAACAGTTGATTAAGCTGTACGCACAAGCAGTAATGGTACTGAAACAATATTGCTTCACCGTCTAACACATGATGCGGTACATCCTCCCGCAAACACACTCCCTCACCTCCTTAGAGATCGATTTGCTCATTCTTTTCCTCCCTGCTCTTCTATAAGATGTTTTGCAAAGTCTATCGTGAATTACAAAATAATTGTGCAGGCCTTATGACAGATACCAGTTGTGAATGAAGCCCTTTAGAGTGGAGTTGTAATGCCTTCCCGCAATGATGTCATCATACTACGCATGGGCAGCACATGATCTGTCTGTGGAACACCCAACAATGTCTTCTCATTCAAACCATAATACAGTACTATCAAAACTAATAACACTCGATCTCTCTTTTCACATGTTTCGCGTTTGTTCCTCAAGACAGATAGCAAGAAATGTCAAAATTGAGGTCTAATGCTTCCAAATGAAATCATGTATTTGACGGACTGGGAACATTCTGTAACTCAAGGATTTATTTATCCACAAATAGTATAGAACAGTCGAAAAGTCTTGCAATTGCATGAAAGTGATTCTTACTTTTGCCCCCAAAAAATGAGAATTTATTTCATTAACAGATAAAAGTCCTCTTCTTGTTCTTTCTCTCTGTACTAATGTGATTACCCTATTTGGAATTTATAACAAAAAGCGGACAGTCCATAGATTAATAGCAAAAACATAATTCGAGACTTTGTGGTGTCATTCACCATCATATTCATTTCATTTCATTGTGGCGATACCGTGCCCTGCGATTGGCTGGCAACCGATTCAGGGTGTCCCCCGCCTACTGCCCGAAGACAGCTGGGATAGGCTCCAGCACCCACCGCGACCCTTGTGAGGATCAGCGGATCGGAAAATGGATGGTTGGATGTGGCGATACTATTTTGTTATCACCACTTGATATTGGAATTTGTGTAGTATTGTGAGTTTCCAAGACACAATCAATAACCTTGTCAAATTTTGAGTCAAAACGTTGATTGTTTTGTTATTGTTGGTGAAAATGGCACAAGAAAGCCCAAACGCAATGGACCGGTATGCTGTTGAGAAATATAACTATATATACAAAAAAATGTTTTTGCATGCCAAAAACTAGTTTGAGGAACCAATATTTTACAGCATTCTCAAAGATTCTGGTAACTTCAAGTCGAACAGTGTAGACAGACAGCCCTACAAACTCATTTTCACAGAATTGAACCCATGCTACATGCATACACTGAAGTCAGACATGTAAACCACTACATTATCAGTTAGGAAGGGTATGAATATTTTCGGCTTAACTGTATATTCCATAAACCATACAGATTTATAAACATTAACCACTTCAGATTATAATAATTGATGATTGCTAATGAGTGAGTCCAAACTCTATTAACTGAGGACACTTATTGGCAAGTACACTGCATGTTTACATTCTTAGCAAGTAGCATGCATGCTAGCAACAACTTGTTTGTGTGCTTTTGGAAGGCAGCTATTTGACTCATATTTGCCTTTAGTTCAAGAAAATTCAACAATAAAGCTCCCTACTCTCTGTCTAAATTGTTCTTCTGAAGTCACAGCCACACAACAAAGTGACTCAGGTCTAATAAATCTACTGAAGTATGAATATTGGAAACATCTTTTTTATCTTTCTTACAGTAATTGAGGTGACATGAAAAGGTATTGTGTGGTTAATGAAACGCTTACAGATTTATTTTTAATCACTGACTCACTTGACACATCAGCCGACAACACCCTTCCTCCTCCAGTTGCTACCATACTTGTTCACACCCTTTACGGTGCAAGCTTCATCAGTATCACTTCCTGTCTGAGGGAAGCCATGCGGATGAGGTGTTTTCTCACGTTGAGAGTGGGGGGGGGGGGGGGCTCTTGCTGGTTTTCCAATGTCAGATATTTTGAAAGTTATTTTTCATATGAAGCACTGACAGATGGACAGGCAGATATTACAGAGTGTTGGTGCTTTATTAATTGCAACCATTACTGGTGCACCTATGGGCCAAGTGTGGACAATCGTATAGTATCATCTCATAAATTATAATGTTTCGGTGAAGGCCATTTGGAAAGGTTGTCTTCCAAATGGAACGACTAATAAAACAAAACAAAAACAAAAACAAAAAACAACAACAAAAAACATCCAATAAGAACACAATTCCTCATACTGCTCCATGTAGGCCAATGTAAAAGTTGCAGTGGCGGACCCTGAGGGCCAGCAAGGCCTTCTCTGCTGGCCTAAACATTCTCAGAAAAGTAAATTTACTTTTATGTATTTTATGTTATTTTATAATTTATGTTATTTTATTTTCATAAATATGCAAACAAAATTATTCTCTGTATTCTTTACGTTGTATTATTTCCACTTAGTTGAGTGGCTTTCAATGTTATTGAAAGCCACTCGATAAATAAGTTATTTATTATGGTAGAGTTTTTAACCAATCATATTTCAG